AGAAGAAGATCTATAATTTGTTCGAACCACTCTTTAAAGACATCAGCATTCATGTCCTCATGGTAGTCACCGGTACAAGTAGATTCAAAAGTCAATAAACCACCTTTAACAAAACCGTTTGAACTACCGATGTGTACTATTATTAGTCTGCGCCCCTTTTCTGATGGTGGATTTAAACCAGTAGATAAATTATTTAAAAAAGCCTGTCTTCGACTTGTAACAGTTTTATCTTGCCAAAATTTATTTGGTTTATGTCCCTCATTGATCCATGTTTCATTTAAATAAAATATATTTTTTCTTTGGTTTCTCATTTCTTTTATATTTAGGTAATTTCTACTCCATACTACAATATCGTTTCTTTCTATTAAAATAGACTTTCTGGAATGCTTTTTCCATAGAAAATCTATTTCTTTTAAAAGTTTTCATAGTGTGCTTTGACTCATTTCAGGGTAATCCTTATCACCTCGAACCGTGGCAAGAACTTTGTCAACTGTCGGAAATTCTTTTCTAAAGAAAAACGCATGCACTTTCCTTCGAAGTCTTTCTTTCAAAAGATTTTCTGATTGAAATTTTGGTTTTGCTGGAGCTTTACGTGCTGTTTGAAACTCGCCACATTTCTCTTCTTTAACAACTCTGTAAATCGTGGATTTCCCAATATCAAGCGTACTATTAACTAATTCCACTGTGTCATCAACACTTTTACATAAATGTTTGTCTGTAAATGATTTAAAACAATTAAATATTTATGTTTTTTCATTAACTGTTAAAGGACCGATTTTTTGTCGTTTACGAGGCCCTTCAAAATTTTCCATGATCTCACTAGAATTCACACTGCACCTTGCAAGTTGCAACTAAACGACATTTAGTAAACTGTCAAAAATACACAACTTGGACCTCCTTACTAAATGGAAAACCTATAATTACATTTTCGGTGAAATTTGTTGGGAACGTATTTATCTATTTATAATTCGATTACTGTAAGAAATTCTTGGAATTAAAATAAAACAAAATTGGCAAATAGATACTTATTGAAAATAATCTTAAGATACGGCTATGTAATCTTTAATGCATAGGGCTTTTGGCCTGTCCAAACCTTTTTCTATTGTTCTGTACAGCTTATATTTATAAAGGACCAATAAAAGACCCAACACTTGTAATAGCTCAGATACATTTATTACAATTTTAGGAAATATTTAGATTATTCTGTAAAAATATTTAAAATGACCGTACTAAGTTTTGCATTAGAAAGGCTGTTTTATTACTCTCTCATACATAAAAATAGACATACTACTGACCTAATGATGCTATATTGCCGAAACCGGTGGCCTAAATATTTTTTTGTTAGGGTTTTTGTGTTTTTTTTTTTTATTTCAAGTATGATTTATTTTAGTGGTGATCGTACGTCATCTATTGAAGGAACTGCCACACTCGCTTCTAAAAATGGTGATGCGATTTTGGACGTAGAATTCGATATTATAGGTGGTTAGTACTAAACTTTAGTTGTTATAATATGGCTGAACGAACTTGCCACTTGATACAAGCCGATTCCTAAAAATATATTTTTTTTTCAGTTCCTGTACATGCTCCTTATAATGTTATTAGTACCGATTATACCAGTTATGCAGTTGTATATTCTTGCTCAGAAATATTGGGAATTACCTACTCAAGTAAGTATAGTTTTAGAACATTTTAACAGCTAAATAAAAAATTCAAGAAAATATACTTTTTTTTAGGGATCACTTTTGACAGTTACCCTATTTTTAAAAGTTATCAACAAAATTGTGTTTTTTTGTAAATGCAAGACTGTATGCAGATAATCTGATAATCTGCATTTAAGGAATAATAATTAAAGTGATATAAAATATGTTACAAAAATGTATAGCTGGTGTGAAACTAAAATAACAATAATTTTTGTATAGAAAATAGTGTTTTTCCAGAGCAGTGAAAAGCTTCTAAGATATTACCATTGCCAAAAAAAAAAGAATATTTCTAGTATAAATTAGTTACGGCCTATTGCCATACTACCAGTATTGTCAAAAATAATTGAGAAAATTATTAAACTTCAAATTAATGTACATCTAAATAAACACAATATTGTACCCACACATCAGTTATAGTCTGGTTCACAAGTGCCATTTCCCTCGAAACCTGTCCTCCAGCACCGAAAATTATGATTTTGGGCTTATTCGATTCGGAATGGCATCTAGAACATTCTATCAAAATTCCAAGAGGGGCTGAAAAAAAAATGCAAAAGTTATAAACAATAAAGTAAAATAAAAAATAAGGGTTTGGTTTTTTTAAAATATTTCAAAAACTATTTGAGATAATCAAAATTTGAAAAAAGATTCTTAAAGAGCAGGAAATTTCCTAAAAAAAAGTTTTACCTCCTGGAACTGTACCAACAACCCTTATAATTTTAATTAAGCGGCGAAAATAACGGTAAAAACGCGTGGTTCGGCTGCCGCGTGCATTGCCCCAATCTGACACATGAACTAAAAAAATTATTTTAACTGATTAAATATTAATATTAAGGAATAAAAAAATTTGGGTACTAAGTAGACATATGAATAAACAATAATTCGTAAACAAAAAATTTTTATCACTATTTTTTTATTAATTATGCTTTTGTTAATTAGTTAATTTTTACCATTTTAATGTTAACATAAAAGCGCTGATTATTTAATTTTTTTCACACAATCTTTGAGATAAGTTAAAGGATGTTGTGCTCTTTTGGATGACTTTTTGCAAGTATTGATTCCATGTTGACCTGTGGTCAAAGATGACTTCCAAGTATTTGGCCTCTTGAGCAAATGGAATCTTCACTCCGTTGAGTACTGGTGACTTTAGTCCTGTTGGTACTTTTTGTTTTGTAAAGTTGAATATTGTGGTTTTGTGAGGGTTTAGTGTTAGTTCCTGTACCTGTGAACTTGCCTCTTACGACGATCACCAGGTCATCGACAGTAGAAATCTGCCTTTTTATAAGTTCATCCACTGGGACTGACCAGAAGAGGGGAGATAGTACTACTCTCTGAGGATAGCCCCTGCCTGCTTTAGATGATGTTATTACCCTTTCTTTTATGCTGGCTTTTATCCACTAACATAGGACTACTGGTACCCCTTTCATTGTTAGGGCGTTAATTATAGATCTTGTTTGAGCATTACTAATTTCAAAATATAGACTCACTAGTAATATAAATTATAAAATTGCAATTTTGTTACATACCTACCTTATCAATGCTAATAACCCATAGTAGTTAAAGCAATACAAAAAAAATATTAAAAATACTAATCTTACGAGTCGTTAGAGAGAGCTTAGGTGCAAATAAATAATAAACAGTATATACCTTTTCATTTGCAGATATTTTAAAATAATTTATTTTATACAATAAAATAAAAATATATTAAAACATTTTTTAAATTATCTTTCTGTTTTTATTTTAGGTACTTCTTGGATTTTAACGAGAGAACAAAATCCACCTGAAAGCTTAATCAAAAAAGGCTACTCCATACTTGAAGGACAAAAAATTAAAACGGATTCGTTAAAGAAAACTAATCAAGAAAATTGTAATTAAAACGATTTTTTTGGAACATCCAAAGGAAATTAATAAATAATAGAAACTAATTAAAAACGATTTTATTTTGATTTAACTAAGTTTATAATGAACATCTAAATGAGTTTTAAAATTAAATAGAAGCAGATGGGCTTCAGAATAATATTCTTACTAAATAGTATATGTTTAACTGCATTCTGGATGTATGAGGTAGGGTGATTTTGAACTTAATACTTTTTATAACTTTGTAAAAAGTTATTAATATATATAGCTCCTTAAAATAATTTCTTTAAAAACCGGACCAAAATCAGAAAAAAAAAAGTATCGACTTTGGAATCACTCTGTATTTTAATTATTATTAAACGTACTATTTTCCAAGTGGACTCAAAGAGCCGTAATTATGTGCTGCATAGAGGTTTTTCAGTTTAAACCAGGGCTGAAGCCTTTGAAAATGGTTAAAAAAGAAAAAAAAATAATAGTGGGGTGAAACTCATTGGAAAAGGAAGAGAATATAACAAAAATAAAAGGAAAAATAATTTACGGGCCATCTGAGGTCGGGAAGTAGATCTCACCCCCATCCATAAGGGTAAAAACGGTTTATCTCGATTTCCGGAAAAAGTATGGAAAAAAGTTAAATGACAAAAATCTACCACTTGTCTTTTTACTCTTTTTTCACAAAACCTCAAAATTTATGTGAAAAATTCAAATTGTCAAATTGTTGGTTTTTAATTTTTATCGTTTACAAAATATTTGGTGAAAACTTACCTTTTTATGTCCCAAATACACTGTAATTTTTTGATTTAAAATATTTATTTTTTTACCTTATTTTGAATTAATATCGAAAAAGCAACCTAATTTTGAATAGAAAATTCTCATGTCAAAATATCTTCTTTTTTATAAAAGTCGGTAGGCTTTTTGTTCGTTAAAATCTTTACTTTCTGATGGTGTAAAAAATATATACATTACTATGGTAAATGTTCTCAGAAAATGCAAAGGAATGAAAAAAATTCGAATCCGAGTTTTTTTTTTAATCATTATGTACAATTTTAGTTTTTGTCTCTTTGATGGCATTTCTTCATCGTTATATTCGACAAACATTCCCGATTCTAGTAGATCTTTAAAATCTTTAAGACCATCACCGTCTTCGTCTCCAATATTATTTCCATTCTGCATTGGTTCTTCATCCACAATTTCATCTGAATCATTAACTTTCTCGTAGGTTTTTTTCTTCCACATTGGAGCATTTTTCAGAACCATGACAATTTGAGCCTAAATTTGTGCATTTTAAACCATGTTTTCGGCAGCCACATTTTAAACTGTTACATCCAGTTTCACAGTTGCAGCAAATAGTTTTGAGGAATATTTCCGAAATTAATTCCCTTTCTGTAATCCATCTTTTTTGATATCTTCTTTGTAATAGGTAACAGGTAGTAAGGCGCCCCTTTCCCACTTTTATATGAAATATCTTTTGATGGGCTAAAATTTTCCGTAGGTCACTCAGGTATATGTTATCTTAAAATAGCAATAAATAGGCCTCTATAATCAAATGCCACTATTATTGTAGATAGTGGCTCATGTTGTATAGAAATTTTATAGGCCAATCAAATTAGACGTTATAATTAGACTGTGTAAAAAAAAGTTATTTTTAATAGATGTTGATTTTTTGAATACCAAAAAAAGAAGATCCACTTTTTAGTGTTAATTAAATTATTTGCATATATCTGCTGAACAAGAATGAAATCAAGGTTCTACAAAAAGAAATTAAAGGCTTACTTAACTTACCGGAATAGGAGGGAAGGCCAATTGTCTTCTTTATCCTGGAATACAGGTTTTCTTCAACTCGCGCAATGCGAGGCGCAACACAATTCGTAACACGAAAAAATATACCTAAATTTCTTTCGTTCACGGGTTTGCCGGCTTTGAATTATTAACAAAAATTCCGAGTACGGTGTTTCGATGGTTCGATGTTTCGAGCACGCTGTTCGTTTTCGTTCTCTCTGTAGTTGCGGCTTTGACAATTCGAAGAAACGGCGAAAAGCCAAAAAAAAATCGTTCAAAGTTCAGAAGGAAGGCGATTAAATATCGGAATATGTAGGAATGGGTAAATATATAGGTGAAGAAAGCAAACCTTTATAATAATTAATTATAAACATAATGAAAATTATTAAATATATTAAATATTGATATTACCAAACGCAAAGTGGTTATATATAAAAACGCAATTAATAAATATAAATAATTAATATTGTGAGCCCAAATGAAAATAGATAATAAAAAAATATATAAATAAATCTTAAAATGCGCGGGAACAGAACAAGTGAGGTATTGCAAAATTTATTTAATCTCTCACAAATTTACAGAAACCTTCTTCTTCTTCGTTTTCTTCTTCTTTTTTTATTCTTCTTCTTTTTCTTCTTCTTCTTTTTCTTCTTCTTCTTTTTCTTCTTCTTCTTTTTCTTCTTCTTCTTCTTCTTCTACTAAAACCTTTTTTATACTTACTCTTCAAAGACTATACGTTCAGATTGTTTCAAAAAAATTGAGAAAATCGCTATCTTTATAAATTTTTTGAATAACTAATTTATTTGTTTATTATTTACCTCTAGAACAGATATCATTTTGTTAAAATAATTTTATTAATTTGACTGGTCTATTTTTAAACTGCTCAAACGTCTTCCAAGCGATTGGTAAAATGGAACGTTGCAGCCTTTAGTTTGCATCTTTATCAAACGGTAGATAATGTCCGAGATCCACACTGTCGTCGCAGATTAAAGCGACGTTATTGGTAATAACGCATTTGAATCTTACTTGGATATTATCGTTGAAGCGGTGTCATAGGTGCGGTGAGAGGGATTACATCAGCAGAGACCGGAATTGTTTTCAGATATTTTTTTAAAAATCGAACCAGGATCTGTTATTGTTATAGAAAATGCTCCATACCACAGCCAGCGTGTATAACAGTTACCAACCACCAAATAGAGAAAAGCCTAGATTGCAGATTGGCTTACTGAGAAAAATATTAAATTCAATAAACCGATTTTAAAAATCGAGTTACTAAACCTAGCACGGTGTCAAATATGTATTAGATGTTGAATTATTATTACCATTACTATCATCTCAAAAGACTATTACAGTTTATAACAGGGATGTATAAAAAATATACGAGCCTGTCTCAGTGAAGTTGTCCCAACCCCACAAAACATGATATTTGTGAATTTATCTCAGGGCAAATTAAAATTTTATTTAAAATATAATATTTTTGGTTTGTTTAAATGTTTATGGAAATATAATAAGACCAGCGTGGCTATTTTTAAAAAGTTTTTATTTCTAAATTGTTCTATTTGTAAAATGATTTTTGTTTGGCAAAATACATGATGGAGACAACTTAAGTTGGTTTATCGGCTTCAATAAAATCAAGGCAGGCTTTGTAAAACAAATGATAATATTTGACTTTGCTAAGAAACCGATTTTGACGTTTTAATTAACTTTCGTACATTGGTGTTGCATGCATGCAGCTTGCTGGATTTCAACTTTAAACTTTTCCAGTTCTTCATCTAGCTGATTTTTCATTTTTAGTGTTATGGTCAGTTGAATAGTATTTGTTAAGTCCTCTTGAAAACCTTCCCAATTAGTTTTCCGATTTGCTAAGGTCGGTTTGGCTTCTCTTTGAATAACATTATCACTTAGAGTAAGGATTACTACAGAATGGTCTGAATCCATATCAAAGTTTTCTTCTACTTGTGTATAGTTTGGTTAAATTTTCCTCAGAATAAAGAAAATTATGAGGGGGTGCTGTAATCACCTTAACAAGAGATTAAGAGCTTAAATTTCGGGATTATATTAAGAATAGTGCTGTATAGGAATGCATTTATTTTCATTATGATAATTCAAAATTTAAAGCCCTTTGATTTTTTTTCTCGGAAACTAAAAGGAATTAAAAATTAAAAATGTATGCGTATTCTAGATATTATTGCCTTATATATTTTTCCAAAATTTTAATTTTTAAAAAAAATTACTTTTTGAGATATCCTTGTCAGAAAATTATAAGGGGGTGCTGTAATCACCTTAAGTTTAACCGAATTGTTTCAAAATATTATATTTATTTACTTAAGCATAGAGATTTAGTTATTACGAGTGTCCTTTCTTACGCACCACTGAAGAAAGAAGATTTTTTAATTGATTTTGAAAAACATTTAATAGATGTAATTAATAATAAATAAATTTAAAAAAAAACCAAAAGAAGTAGTAATTGTTTAATTTTGATTTGCACAAAAAGTAAACAAAAAGTCTTATATGAATCAAGCCCATTACAAGTGTCATTATTTTGACATAAAAATTTCCACTTATTAATTTCGTCCAGGGTACCCTGGAAGATGAAAATATCCGAAATTTTTTTGGGTTACCATGGTAACCAAACAAAAAAATAGACTAATTGGCTTAAAAATGGTGGTGTGAAATTTTCAATACAATACTGTATTGGAATATTCTTACTTTAACAATTTTTATCAATTGTGGTTTTGTTTTTACGGAAGCAGGACTATCAATGTTATTATCTTTTGAATACTTTGATATATCTAATTTCTTAGAGTCACTACTTGGCTTCTTGTGAATTTTCCGGGAATGATATGGCGAATTGTCCATTACTTTGACTGAATTAGGTGAAATATTCGGTAAAAGTTGTTTAGCAAACCAGTTCTTAAAAACTGCAGCATTTATATATTCATGATCAACCAGCAGAGCTTTATTGACTTATTTTGCTGAAAGTAGCAAAGCGTTTGCTACAAAGCCATTTTCATTTCCGACATGTAAAATTATGACTCTATTATCTACATCTACCTCAAAAGATTTCCAGAAAGCATCTCGTATAACACAAATAAAAATTTAACAGAAACACCGAAAAATAAAAACAAGTTTAACAAACGTTTTGGGAAAAATTTTCAAACCGTGCACGCTACTGATCAAAGATGAAACAACTAAAGCAGCAATGCGAGCCAGCAATTCTGGCCGCTCACTTGTGGACTTAACATCAACTCTAGGTGCGTAGATGTTTAAAACTTAAGTGTGCCACATCAGAGGCTATACCAAGATGGTTCACGCTTATTTTCAATGTGAGGGTATAGAATTTGTAGAATTAGCATGGCATGTAACGCGAATTATTATGCAATCTCGGTACAAACGCCTGTATTGGATTGAGTCTGGAAACACTATACCGGGCTCTTACTGGAAATATACTGCCTATTCCTGGCCATACTGCATTCTCAGTATGTCCCTTACTATAGATGCTACACTTGTGGGAG